CTGCTGCTGCCATTGATCGAATGGCCACCGACTGTAACTCTCGGAAAGGGTAAGCAGTAAATTTCCCCTCTGGTGATAGGGAGATTGGCAAATTTAACCGTCGCGTCGTAACGAAATGGGTAAGGACGGTCGAAACAACGGGGCAAATACTTTATTACGCGATTGGCCAAAATGCCGCGTGATGAACGAGCAGTGGTTTTAAGCGATGCCATAAAATTCGTATCAGCCTGGCTGAGCAGGGAATCTCAGGGGCGGCCGGTAATGTCCAAATGTGAATAAATGATGCCAATGATGGGCCAATATGGATGATCGGTTTGCGATCAAATGCGTCCCTGAGCTGCCTGTGTCGGTGAGAGGTGGCAGTAGGTATGCTTTCGAGATTAATGTCTTCAATTACTCTGCTCTGCGTGTGGGTTGGTCACGGAAAGGGAGGGGGGGTGCTCGGGTGTTTATAATGAATTATAAAAACGAATAATTTTAAATCTTAATTACCCACTACTGCCGGTCATCTCCGTGCATCACTTTGGTGTCTGGGTGTATAAATAAATATTTATTTTCATGCAATTCGGAAATAGATTCCCGTTTAGCAATCGGGTGTTGCAGCACTTAGAATAAATGAGTAGTTCATAAATCGAAAATTTGTTTATGGTTTGTTTATTGCGTACTTAGGAGGAAAGTTGAGATCGTGGCTTGCGGAAGTAAATTTTGTTTGAACTCGTCAAATTATGTGTTATTAAAGTGGATATTATCATTAAGATATGTAATGATTTAACCGAATATCCTACTCATTTTAACATAACTTCAACTTCCTTAACCAGGCAGTAATTTCATAACCAAACTTAAAGATACCAAATAGAAAAATAGTCATAAGGCATAAGAAAACATCATTCTATCGAGAAATTCGAATGGGAAAATCTTGATTCCACCAATTTCGCTTTACCAATACTTAGATTACTTGTATATTTGGAAACATCTGGAAAACGAAATCACTAAATAAAGGCCATGCAATAACTCACAAGCTTTTGACTAAAAAGAAGCAAATTAAGGGCTATAAAACCACTGGAAACCCACATTTCAAAATCAAAAGTTTAATTGAATTTTCAAAAGGACGAATCTGTGGTAAGGTGAAGTTTGGTGTCAGTTTACATGGACGAGCTAAGAGTTTCGAAAAAATTGACGTTAGAATCTTTGTGTGCAAATGCACATATGTTCACCTGATAATTCATCCTTGAATTACTGTAATACAATCTATCAAAAAGTGGCTATATCCATCAAACGATATTTAACCGATCATGTCTATTGCATACAAGATTGCTTCAACCCACTTCGATATACAAATTGTTTTTCGGATTTATGGAATCATTGGATGCTATAATGGTTTGCTTTACTTGTATGTTACGAGAAGAAGACTCTGAGTGAACGCTTACGAATCATAAAATTTCTTATTGTGATTCTCTGAACTGTTGGAAGCGAGAGGCAGTTTAAGGTAAACTGGCGTTCTGTGCCGAACAAAGGGACGAGGTAGCTGTACAGAATCTGATGGCAGGAGTTAAACGGAAGGCCCGGCAAGTCGGATTCGGTCAACCGGAAGCTTTAGCTGAATATTTTTCTGTATGTTATACTAATTGAGCTTGAAAAGTAAAAAATATTTTTTTTTAATAAAAAAAAATACCCAATTTACACGCATTCTTGTCTGATCTAATTTTGATCGTAACACCCTTTACTCGCCTTTAGCTGAAACTGAAGGCATCCTTAAAATCTAAAGCAATATCCTGCATGAATTTTAATGTCGACAAGACAAAATTTTCTCGATCAATACAAACGCTGAGTTTCGAGACAACGTTTGATTTTGTTCATTCGTGGATTGATGTTCATTACAGCCTGTGCTGTTGTCAATATCCATATTCATCTTCATCTTGATGAGGATGATTATGAGTGTCAAATGCTTAATGATTATTATTATTTCACACAAATATAGCACTGTAGAATGTTTTGTTTTATTTTTCACACTCAACCAACTCAACTTAACGATGGAAATTTATTACCTCATGCTGAAATGATGATCGACGTTTTTGGCGCTGGGATCAATAATATTCAAATAATCATCGCTTCTAATTTTTACAATTTTTGGTTGGATACTCAAGTGTTGATGAATATCAATAATCGCCCTTTCGTCGATGTATAATAAACTTATTTTTTTCATTTCGCTCGTACGTGATAGCGAGGATTTTCAAATCAAAGCAATTCATTACACTGGTTTAAAGCGCTAGTGATGGTAATTGATGAAACAGACACCACTTGTATATCCCTAGTTTTGACCACCGAAAGATATTGATACAAAAATTAATCCGAAATGTACGGTCCATATAAAGATGAGGAAGTAACTTTTCTAACGGTATGTAAACATAATGCATCGGATAAATGGAATCCGAAATTATTTTGAAAAATGTCTAATTCATTTCAGATTGGGTTCTGAAGAGCAAATAATTTTCAACACAATTCGTATATTGCGATTTTTTATGTACTAGGATTAATGTCCCTATTTTTGGCCTAAGTGTCCCTAATATTGGGTTCATACATACAATTCGACAATGTTTCACTAGCAACTAAAAATATTTATTTGTATTGTCCCGATGACACGTTTTTCTACGAAAAAGTGGAGATTTTTATCGATAGACCCAATATTTAGATCCATGGGTCATTAAAACCATTTCCCCACACAAAATACTATATTTGAAAAAATGATCATTTTACGACATTTACGAACTGCTTTTGATTATCGATTATCGATAATTTTATAGAAAATCTCGTTGAAACCTGAGTTGGATAACATTGGTTAAAACATGTTTTTTTTTCATCACGTTTATATATCACGATTTTCGATCGAGGTATTGTTTAATGCTACGTTATAATTTTTTTTTTTCCTTTGGTTTGTTTTTCCGTCGATCTTGTTTTCCGTGCTGAGCACCAATGCTACCGACGCCAGGGAGGCAGCTCCCACACCTGGACCCTACCTATCGACCCATCAACTCATGAACCGGGGACCAACGGCTTTACTTCCCATCCGAAGGAAGGCGTGATCAGAGATGTTATGCCTCAGAACATCCCGGCGGCACCGACTGGAATTGAACCCAGGCCTGCTGGGGTGAGAGGTAATCACGCTTACCTCTACACCACCGGCGCCGCTTACGTTATAAATTGATCAATGTAAATTATGCTTCATTGCAGGCTCGATTATCGCATAGTACGCTAATCTTTTTATCATTTTTATATTTTCCAATATATTTCTATCACTTTTGACACTTTGTGTTTTTTGAGCACTGCCACAGTTGGTAATAATTGAGAGCTTTCTAAGCCTGTACCATTTTTGCATTAGTATTATTGGGTGGCAAGTACTATCATACTCTATGCCCAGGGAAATCGAGAAATTGTTCAATCCGGAAAATTCCTTGACCGGTCTGAGAATCGAACCCATCCGTTTCCAGCATAATCTTGCTTTATAGCTGCACCTTTACCGACTGAGCCAAAGGATACCCCACTTGACTTGTATGCATTAATTAAATCCTAACATTCACTCAACTGAATCAGAGTATTTTCATGTCATTCATCTCAAGCACCAAGACGAAATTTAATTTCGATGAAACATGGTTGGCATTGGAATGTTCAACTCAAATTATTCGAAAAACACGTCTAAAATGTTTGTCCCAAATGAAAGCCAGCTTGATAGTTTCACCTTCGCTCATAAATGAACGTAAATATCTTTTTCAGCTTCCTCATGGAACTATCTAGCCGCTTAGCTCACATTTATCAATCAGAAATCAACCCGACAATTCACGATCAAATCACGTTTTTCTCCTGTCATGGTTTTCTGAAATTAATCTTCCTGTGCCAATCACAACCCATCCCAGCATAGGCTAAATATTTGTTTTCAATATTATTATTAACAGATGACTGCTTCCATTTTCACATTTATCGCAACCATCGGTGAACGAAGGAAAGGGGACAATTTGCCGGTTCAATTCACTGTCACAATTTTTAATTTATTTCTGCCTCCACGAGAATGGCAGCCAAATCTATCGGGTGACAGAGAGAAATTCACTTTGCATGCCAACAATTGACCGTGATCGTGAAAATGATTCACAAGGCTTATTTTTTCTTCAACATTTTTTAAATTAAAATCTTTGTTCACACGCGGATCACTATTGCGAAATAATTTTGCACCTGAATATCAAACAATCACATGCCTTCGGTATTCGTCGAAAGGTGAGTCGAGCGTAAAAATAGTTTTATTTATCCACGCTGGCAGCGGTGGCAGGGAGAGCTTTGAACCTGGGCAAGGATGAATAGCTTAATTGAAGATTTATGAGATATGCGATGGGATGAGTCTTATTTTCCGTGCAATCTACCGCATGAAACTAGGCAAGACTCATTATAGTATAGTTATCCCGTCCCGTCTGGCCATTCGTTGTTGAATCTTCTTACAGCGCTGCATCATTCTCTGAATTGAATAATTAATCTGAACAGATTGTGGGCCGAGATGATTGATTGCAGTTTTCCAACCCATTCGGCGGTAGCTCCATAGAAATTTTCCACCTTTTCTGCTGCTCGGGTGGATTTTTTTATTGCACCTTATTTTAAGTACCACTAGGAGGGGGCAAACAAACTCCTACGGTGGTATTTCAAAACAGCCCTCCTTCTGCCGCAAACCGTAGACTATTCAAAATAAACTCTTTCTTCTTGCGGTAGTTTTTCGAGAAAAGTCCATTCATTTCCCAGGGTATTCTTCACTGTACAGCCAATTTTCCATTCAGTTTCATTTCAATTGAGACACACGGTGTTGGAATGCAGTATTCCTTAACGCTATGAAAAATCGATGCACATTATTCAAGCTATCAAATCCCACCACCCACCACCAAGAAAAGAAGATTCCTTTTCACTGACGATCGATCAACTCCGAATATGTGTAGCGTAGAAGGGTGAAGCTTAAAAAGAAAAATTACCATCGTTTGTAATGAATTTGGCGCGAGAACCGGACACCAATGAACTGAGCAAGTAGATACTGAATCCGAGCTGGACTTTCGCTTTTGTTGAAATTTCACTCCACTTCTATCCTTGGAGGGTGTGCCACTGGAGCCTCTCGGGTTTTCTCTGCGTTTGCACTGCGAAACGACGACGTGGACGTGATGAGTTAATTAACCGAGAGCCGTTCAATAACTAACTAAAGCGAAAATATCATTCAACATCATTTATATTTAAAAACTCCTCCACACAATGTGAAGATGGATAAGATGCAACGGACGACGACATGGGTGGTGGGTGGCATAACCTCCCCTCCCCTATGAAAACCGCATTTGGAAAATGGCGAGTGGATGGAGCGGGGCTAACTCCCACCCCGCTACTGCGACTGGCAGAAAATTGCTATAAGTAGCTTTAGCAAGCGTGTATATTTTGCCTTTGGAAAATGAGAGTCTCCTTCATCTCATCTTTTCTGAGGATGTTTTGCCTGCCAGGCCAGTAGTTAAGCTGCTTTTGCCGATTGGCTTAGCCAGCACCTCGGTTTAGCCAAACTGATGCCGTCACGAAATGGGGGAGGAAGCAGTTGGAGAAAACAGATAACATGAACGGCTAGCGCAGGTATCTGTGAGTAGGGTAGAAGTGCGAATGGTGGACCTTCCCAGATGGTGTGAACGAATTGTAGGAAGCTTGAAGGAAAAGGCAATACGTAGGCAACTGTTCTGTTGTGTAGGTTAGTAGAATAATTTAGTTGGGATATAGTTCATGAAATGCACACTACAAAATTGACATTACGAGTATCACTGATGTCAAAAAATACAAGCATAAAAGGCGTAAAATGTCTTCCATCTATCTTCATTTTGCCCGACTTACATATTTGTCGGTCTCGGAGTTCTTAAATTGACATGAAAAGTGTGTTATAACGTTTTATCCTAATTAAATTAAATTCATCAATTTAGGAAAAGGGTAGTCCTGGTTTTGTTACCTTTCTTATTTTAGTCACAGTTTCTGAGAAAACACTGTTTTACAGTCAACTTCTTCTTCTTATTCGCATTTCAAGCTTATTGTTTACCGCATATTAGCTTATTGCGTACTCTCAACTTAGTGTCCTAGGTGCAATTCCACAGTTATTAATTGAGAGTTTTCGATGCCTGTACCGTTTTAGCGTTAGTATAATTTAGTGGCAAGCACCATCATACTCTATGCCTAGGAAAGTCGAGAAATTTTCCAAGCCGAAATATTCCTAGACCGGACCGGGAATCGAACCCAGCCACCTCCAGCATGATCTTGCTTTGTAGGTGCGCTTTACCGACTGAGCTAAGGGAGTCACCGTCAACTTTCCACAACTCATCGTATCATCGAGTTATACAATTATCTACCTATAGGATCATACTACATTCCACTTTATTGATTACACATCATTTGAGGAATAATCTTGGATGAACCTATTTACGGTCAGATTATCGAAATAAATCAATGGTAATAGAACTTACGTTTTCAACTTCCGCATGCGTTTCATTGTTTTTTTTAACATGGATTCTATCCAGATTCAACCAATATGAACAACAGCCTCATATCACTTGCTTCCTCCGAAGCGTTTTCGAACTTGATCATACTCCTCCACCGTTTTTCTCCTGCACCGATTAGTTACCGAGCTACGGCATTCGTCTGCAGCAGCTGAGCTTAAGTCATGACGCTATTTGCAAAGCTCTTTGCTCGATTGACGCACCGAAAGGCTCAGGTCCGGATAATATTCCACCGTCTTTCTTCAAGAACTGTGCAGCGTCGTCAGTCGCTTCCGTTTTGTATATCCTCAATCGTTCACTTCTGGATGGCGTTTTCCGGACAATTGGAAGCATCAGTTACATCGATCTTCAAGTGCGGTAACATTCAAAGTGTGGAAAACTACCGACCTATATCGATCTAGAATAGTTTGGCAAAAGTTCTCGATAGTTTTCTGCATGACAAGATGAATCCAGCTATTCAGTCCATAGTCTCGGAGTTCCAGTATGGATTCATGAAAAGCGCTCGGCGATCTCTAACTTTATGACCTTTATCAACACTCATATTGATAGCATCGAGAATCGTCAACTAGTAGACGCCGTGAGTATTGGCTTTCGATAAAATCCCTAGGACCAGCAGTTTTTGCATTAAAATGTGATCTCTGTGTAAGTAGGAGAACGGATGGGGGAGGGGGGGGGGGGTTAATTAAGGATTGAGTCGAATATGAAAATGCCTTTTTATACAAAATGTGGGCCAAAGTTTCTTCCGGCTTCTCATGGAAGTCTTTTCTGAAGTGTATTTTAATTGCTCCAGGAATTTATTATTCTACCTGTTCCCGGTATTTTCCCCGATCTTTCTTCCATCAATTCCCGGATGCTTATTACAGTTTTATAAGAATATTTCTCACTACTTCTTGCGGATGGTGCTTCAGACATCTCCTGGAAGTTTATATTGACTTCCTCTGGAAGATTCCTCGATCTTCTTCTGGAAGTATATTCCATAGGAAGTGCTCTCAAAAAGATTTATATTAGCCGCCACTGGAAATTTCTTTTAATTTATTGATTGTTCTACAGAGAGAAAATTTCCCAGGAATGGTTTTCTGTGGTATATTTTGAGTGAAAAATTAATATGTTTGTTAACTCAGCTGGTTGCCAAAAGTGTTTCTAAATCTTGATTCTAGCACACTACTGAGCACAACGGGAACACGTAAATATTGTTTGTCAATTCTTTCAGATTTCAATTGTATTATTTTATAACTCGGCTCTGTAAAGTTTATTCGATTGAGCCTGTACAAATAAATTATTATAAAAAAAAATTGTATTATTTTAAGGTACTTTTCTGACACTTATTGAATGGTAGCTCATACGTAATGGCCCTAATTTAGATATATTTCCACTAATTTTAACTACACTAATTTATTACTAAATAGTTCAACTACAATTCAAAATACCCATAAATTCAATTCACTTTCACTTTCTTCGTTTGTTTTGTTCTGCTGGTCCACTGATGACGATGATGGTCGATGGCGATAGAGGGTTCCTCTATTTTGGCAAGGTAGGCCGGATAGAGCGAAATCAACTATGTACTTTCCGCCGGGCATCGATGAATCAGTTAGATGGTGTGATGTCTGTCGATGTCAATTAGATACATAAAGGTGTGGCACAAGAGGGTATTTGTTGATATTAGTAGCAAAAAAATAGGTAAACAACCGGCGATGACGAAACACTCCTAAAATTTGACATGAAAAAAATGGAGTTTGACATCACGGAAGGTATACTGCACAAACACTATGACATATTTTGAACTACACGAATATCATTTTACGATCATTTCATCACCTGTATATAGCTCATTGGGTCGATGCAGGAGGGGCGCTCAAATACTCCTTTCGGTTGAATACGAACAATACTTTTTTTTATTTTTGAAATCAAACTTGCTTCGCTAGAAATGGGAAACGCAAGTTTTGGAGCCATTAGCGGAAATTGTATGTTTTCAATAAAGGTAAAAATTTTTTATTACGTCATTATTAAGCAACACAGTTCGAAAAAGTAGTATAAGTTTACAGCTGTAAGCATGCAGGGATGTTTACATCACCATTCAAATTCAGATATTTTTTTCTGTGAACTGCGTGGCATAACTAAGTTACAATTTAGCGCATTTTTTGTTGTTGTTGTATTTGATCTGAATACACTTAATTATATTTTTGGCCGACATTTTTGATTAATTTAAATTCAAATATTTAGAAGAATCTTTTCGCAAGAAGAGAAATTAATTAAATTTAATTGATGAATTAATTAATTAATTTAATATGAAGTATTATAGTTTGACTAAAACTCATCCCCCAAATTATGACAAGTCACTATCCGCACCTTCACCTTACGCGTGACGTTTTCGACCATACACGTAAAGTCACACACGAAAGCAGTGCAGATAGATCCAACAGCGCACGGGAGATTAGATTGACAGCATCTGAAGTCGAAAAGTGTCAGAGTATAGCATGGAAAAGCGGCAAGCCATATGCGTATGTTGTTGCTATACTCAAACTCATCCTCCCCCACCGGCCCCGAACGACGTTGTCGCGGGGTGCTGCTGCTCCTGCTAGGGTGAAGCGCTTTTACATAGTGATCGCGAAAGAGAGACGAAGTGAGCATTAGACTTCGTTCTGAGAGAATTTTCCTCCACACGCGCCAGTGATAATCCACTATAAAGGAGCGGAAAATGCGGCAGCCGTTTTCACCCGTTTGCACGTTGAATGTGCAGAATCAAACATTCTGCGGGTTGATTTCGATCTGGGTACTGCCACAACCGCCAATGTTTGAAGCGATGCCAACTTGTGGCACGGAGTGTAACCCGTTCCATGTAAATGCCGGCACTGTGATGACAAAATTTCCCCTATCCTCTTGTTACAAAAATCAATATTAGTCATAGCTGCCTGCATGTATTACGGAAAAGCAGTACATGAAAACAATTTGAACTTTCCAGTGGAATTTCCCACCGTGCTACCGCATGGCTCATGTTTTGAATGAAAGAGTTAATTTTACGCGTCAAGCTGGCAAATTTTGCGGCACCATCACTAAATGATGGACGGTTTGATAGTGTCAACGCGAAGCGAATGCTTTCATACACATGTGAAGAAACGCTGGCCACCACTCAACTATATAGGTAGGTAGTAGATTTTGGTTTTTTCTCGAGGATGGCAAATGATGGACGGCAGCGTAGTGCCTTTGCTTCACTCTAGAACGATGGAGACGCCAGGTGGCTTAGTGAGTATTATGTGCAGAAACCAACACGTTTGCAATAAATTTCATCTTTCGAATTTTAAGCGTGATGGAATTGTACAACAAATCATGCTCGAGGTGGCGGGTTCAATCTCGGTTCACGGTTCAGTTTGGCTGTAGCCCCCAAAATCTACCACGTCAATGTCCGCCAAACGAAATCTTAGACTCGGACATTTTTCATAGTGAATTAGTAATTTTTATGGATGTCTGGAATTATAAACTTGGACGATATTTAATATTATGGAAACATGTTCTACTCCAGACACAGTATCAGCCGTAGTGTAATGATCCCAAAGTATGTATAGCATCAAATTAGTTTAAACAAATCCATGCAGAAAATTGAATATGATTCCATCAACTCAATATATCCAATAACACCCACCACTTAGCCAATAAGTAGGTCAGTAAGGCAAACGCGTATAATCAGCAAAAAAAAAAAC